AGTACCACGAATACAAAGAGGTCTACGTGTTTGATCTTTGATCCAAAGACATTGTGTTGAATTTGTTTGTGATTGAGAAGATGTATTTATTATTGATAATGTATGAGAATGTAAAGATGATATCGGAAGACTTGTAATAGAATGACGAATAGCAAGTGTTTTAATATAATCATCATAAGATGGTGGTGGTAATGATAATACATCATTACTACTGTTATTTATATCTCGAGGAGAAGGAAATAATTCTTTATATGAAGGTAAATCGGTATTGACATTTCTAATAAGACTACAATAAAATACAACAAACATGAATGAATAAAAAAAAAAGCAACAAATACATACTCTAGATTATCATTATTATTTAATGATAATGCTAAATCATATGCTTGTTGTCGTTCACGTAATCTCTACATTAAAAATGAAATGATAGGTGAAAGACAAAAAAATAAAAATAGTTTTTATTTTTTTTACTTGTATAAGTCGATGTCTAGTATTCATAATAACATGATATCGTTTTAATTTATGACATATTCGTATAAATGAAATAATAGAAATGATTAATAAAATTGAAGCTACAATATATGATCCTTCTATTTGATTTTGTGTATCATTAATTGATAATTGAAATAGAAAAAGTGCAATTAGAAATAGGAAAAGAGAAAATGTAAAATGACATAACAATGTTGATGCAAATTTACAATCACTTGTTGAAATATCATTTGTTGTTGTTATCATATTATTTTGTCTATTTGATGAACGAGTACGAGAATGACAATGTCGATTATGTTGTCGATAATATGGCATAAAAATAACCATTTTAAATCTTCTTTGCTTTTCTTTAAATCTACAATTTACTTCTCAACAAAACTAGAATACTATTTCTATTTGAACATTTTTTTCTTCTTCTATCAAATCTATCAATAAATAGAGAGAACGATAGGAATAAAAAGAACACTGATGGTAACCCTACCAAGAAACATATTCCTCTTTTAGATGTAATGGTTTTTTTTTTCACGAGCAGTACGATATGAAAAAAGGATTGCCGAAGTGATGTGAGTCGTCTATGTAAGAGGAAGCTAGATCGATAAAAAAAGAAAAAAAAAAAGAAGAAAAAACTGACATCCATCATCGAGAAATAGGAAAGAAACATACTCATGTAATGACGATCATGCTAACCAATTTTTATAGCTTTTTATATAAGCTGGAATCGATCAGCTAGACAATTATGAAAATAATGATGATAGACAAACACGATTGTTGTTGAAAAGAAATAAGATAGCTATTAACAAAAGCACGATATTATTAACTTGAAATTCTCATCTTCCATTTTATATTAAATAAGTGAACCAAAAAACAAAATTTTCATCTCATCTATATAATATTAAGAAGATTATATTTGTCTTTAAGCATAAATTTATCGTTTCTTATCATGTATAATCTTGACTATATAAGTTTAAAAGAATAATATTTCATAAGGAATTTTTTCTTTTCAATCAATTTCGATTTATGAATTTATTATCCTATTAGAACTAGTCATATAAAAATAAAAACAATTCAATAGAATAAATTTTCGAATTTTTATTTTTTTGATCGAAAGATTGTTATTTACTATTTTTATCTTATGTTTATCATAATTTTAAACTTTATGTTATTTCTTATGCCTATAAAAGAAATGCACAAGTGTATGCGTGAGTGGCTAAGATGTAACGAAAAAAAAAAACAAATTTTCTGAGAGTTAGACAAGTGCATATACAGTTTTTTTAAAGATATCATCCGGAATGATTAAATCCTCTTTAGAGAAAACATTTAATTCGACATGGAGATGATAAGATCCACGACCTGTCGAAAATATGAAACATATGGGTGATTTCATCAAAGAAAAATGCCTATATCTTTGGACTGTAAAATATATTTTAGCTAATTTGTATATAACTGATGTATTTTGAGTTGCTCTAGATACTCTGAAAAAATCAGTCATATCGATCATTGCTTTGCTAAATTATTATTAAAAAACTAGTGTTAGTAGTATGACACTCAAAGATCAATTCTGAATAGTACAAAACCATATTAAAGCTTTCGAGATAATAGTAAAATAAAAAATTTCATTTTGGAAAATGAGCAGACCTCTCGGAAACCAGATTTTGATTTGCAATTTTTTAAAGTCTGATCTTACTGAAAATTATAGTGCACAGTGTAGAGTCTATTTTGAAATTCTTTGACTTTCTCGTGATAAGGTTAATTCGGTGTGACCTGAAAGAATCAGTATTTTTACATATAATTATGGAAAAAGAACTTGCTCCTCAAAAACACAACACTTATAAAGAATCAAAGATGGTCACGCCCCATTTTCGCTGCTTTTGTCCTTAAACGAGAAATAATGCTTGTTAATCTTTGTACTTATTACCTTCTATTTTTTATTATTATTTAATATTCGAGTAAAGATTCTATTTTTTCACGAATAAAATATACTACGTAATAGTTTTGATTGCCTGTAGATAAATAAAGGGTATTTCATAAGGTTCGCACTCATTTTTAGTTTTCTTTCTATCTTTATGATATTCAATCGTAAGGAAATATTGAATATATATTTTTGAAGAGTAACATCTAAGTTATCAATCAAAAAAACAAAATTGTATGCAATTTGTATGAACTATAAGAAAGAATGGCAATCGATAAGGATTGTGAAAAAATTTTGTCAAAATCAAGTTTTACCTTTCGTATATAAAGAATTATCCTCTCAGTATTTTGTGAACATCTCTGTTAGTTTTTGTCTTTTTGATTTCAATTTTTCTTCAAAAGATTGCTCATGCAATTTACTACAAAATCCAATAAAAAATTGCTTTTGAAAAGGGTAGCTTACAGTGTTCGGAACCAGTGTTTTGTCAGGATATGAGAAATAATTAGTTTTATAAAAAAAATTGTCCGACGAAGTGAACTTGTGTGGAGTGTAGTACTGCTGATCAGGTATTGTTTTCTAATAATTCTTTGGAAGAGCTGTTTTTATTAGATTTTGTAGAGAATTGCACGAGCGATCTTTTGAAGAAAAATTGAAATCAAAAAGACAAAAACTAAGAGAGATGTTCACAAAATACTGAGAGGATAATTCTTTATTTACGAAAGGTAAAACTTGATTTTGACAAAATTTTTTCACAATCCTTATCGATTGCTATTCTTTCTTATAGTTCATACAAATTGCATACAATTTTTTTTTTTGATTGATAACTTAGATGTTACTCTTCAAAAATATATATTCAATATTTCCCCGCGATTGAATATCATAAAGATAGAAAGAAAACTAAAAATGAGTACGAAACTTATGAAATACCCTTTATAATTTATTTAAGCTTAGTTCTAACAATAAATAACAGTGGAAATACAAGACCAAATAGCATGGCTCAAAATATTGAATTTATTCATTACAAACTTTTAAAACTTTTTATTACTGACCAATGTCAGATGTCAAATATTAATGTTAACTAGAAATTATCAATCAGTGATAGAATGTCCATAAAATATCAATCTTTATTTGCAGATGAAATATATAGAAATAATCATTTTTGTTAAGTAATTTTTCATTGCAAAAACTTCTCATTTAGATTCGTAGCATATCATTCGTTTCATTCTTATAAGAGATCTATACTAAGGTCTAGTCTAGTTATTTAAGAAAAAGGGTGTGAATGTGGAATGTAAGTGTCGGTGTGGGCCATGAATGCGGATGTCAGTGGCTGTGTGGGTGTTATTCACTAGAATATTCATACACCTTAGGATCCACCCACGCCCATACTTTCATATCAAGATTAAATCCGAACGATTATTTTGAGCAGAGTAAACAATCGATCATCACTCATCAATGAAATAGCGAAACATATAAAATCGTTCTCTCATTGATGACTAAACATTATAGAAAGAGATCACATATCACTCTATCGCTTTCTTCTTCACACAGAGTAGTAGTCGTTGTAAATAGTAAAACTATTCATCATTCAATAATCCGGAATTGAATGTTTGTCAGTTTTGTATTTTCGAAAAGAGCACACAATTTCGGACCTAATTTTGATTGTCATGTGCCGCTGTTCAGTGATCCAAAAATAAACAGATATTTTTTACTAAGACTGAATAGATAGAGGTGAGAACGTTTATTTATTGTAAACTGGAAGAGAAATCGATAAAAATAAGATAGAAGTGAAGCAGCAGTATGAAGTTAAACGAACCAGATTGGTTCCTGTCTTGGTTAACGTTCCCAAGCAAATTACGAGCGATTGCAGTCTACAGGTTTGTCACATCGACTAAAGAAGAGTCCTATAATACGGCATTTCCACCAAGAAGCACATTGTACCGTACATCGTGTACTAATACCTCATCGATTGGGCGCAACATCGTCGTCTTCGCTGCTATCGCTATCGACCGCACGAAGACCAACAGCCACGATCAGAACGATCAGAAGAATAGTACCAAACATTCGTACTTGCATGGTGTGGATCGATCAACCGTGTTCAAGTAAATGGTAATGTATCGGATTCTTGATCAAAAAAAGCAGGTTTGAGTAGACTGTTAGGCTGAAACTGCTTTTATATATACTTGATATTGCTTCCTTTCCGTTTATACTCATATTAACGGAATGCTTTTTTTAATAGGAGAAAGTATATTATTCATCAAGGCTTTGTATCCATTTTCGATCACGCATCGAAGCCTTGCAATAGTCAACCGATTTTACTCAAAGTTGAACCTATTTGGTGAATATTATTCGTCTCTGCGATATTAATTCACGGTTTTTTATTAGCGTACTACTAGAGCTTTGAAATCAGGTGAAGAACAACAATGATGCCTGGAAAGATTATGAGCGATATTACTTAGTATGAAATACAGTAAAATCTCTGTTAATGAACACCTCTCACAAATGAAAACCTACCGTTTTGAGCAAGATTTTGGTTTCACGAAGCATTTTTCGCTGAAAATATTCAATTAAGCAATGGTAAAAATGGTGATGACGATCTGCCTTAACACAAACTAGCTGAAGAGTATGACACTTCACTCATTTCTATACATAATACATTAAACGATAAAGCTTGATAAACAAATCTATGAATGATTTGTACAGCAAAGATGAGAGAAAACAATATCTAGAACTATCTTACAGCGAAAGGCACAATAAATATCTGAATCATTAGCTGATCGTTTCGGTGCTTGCATCAAAAAAGATGAACAAAATAGGAAAATGTCTCTAATTACTTCAAACTTAGAGCAGAAACTTATCGTCTGTGACTTCATTTGTTATCGTACTAAGACATGACATTTCCCATAGATGAATACTGGTTTTTGAGATTTTGTCCTGATCTCTTCTGGTTTTGCGAAACATGATTGGAAATGAGTGTTAAAGTATATATCGGAAAAAATTGGATCCTCCCTCTCTCCACAGACATGCCGAAATGTTATAATGGTTTTCGAATTCTCGAATAAACCATGAACTATTAGATTTTCAAGAGATATGTTGGGTTTTGAATCGATATGAAATCTCCAAGCCACAATCTTTTCTCTCTTTGTGAGTGTGGGGTGTGGGTGTGGGTGTAAATGATAATAGTAACACCCACACCCGCCCACACCCACAACCTAGCCACACCCACCCACACCCACACCCTAGCCACACCCACCCACACCCACACCCACCCACAGCCACACCCCCACACCCACCCACAGCCACACCCCCACACCCACACCCACCCACACCCACACCCCCACACCCACACCCACACCCACCCACACCCTCCTCAGCAGTTAATGACTGTCTATTCATTGTAAGTCGTTTCTAGCCACCATGT